AAAAAAATTATTGAAAAAGATAAGCATATTGATTTACGTTTAAAAATTCTTTTTGGTTATTTAAATTTAATAACTAACGGTTGAAAAAAAATAAAGGCAAGTGAGGTTATAGCGACATCATTAGGAAAAGGATCTTATCATGCACGACTTATTCGAGGATGGGCAAAACAATATACTCAAACAGGTCAACTTTCAATATCGAAAAGAGGAAAACATCAAAAAATATTATCAATTTTAAATGATGAAGATATTCGATCACAAATTACTCAATATTTACGATTATACAAGTTCTATATATCAATTCGAAAATTCAAAACATTTATTGAAGATACTATATTGCCTGGACTAGGAGTTAAACAAAGAATGACTATTTCCGAAGAGACATGTAGAAAATGGCTTCAAAAACTGGGTTGGGAACATAAGCCATATCAAAAAGATTTCTATTTTGATGGTCATGAACGAGCTGATGTTGTAGAAGAAAGAATGAAATTCTTACATCGGATGGAAGAAATAGAAAAGTTTTTAATTTACTATGATGGTAAAGAGTTAGACATGGAAGTAGCACCAGAACTTTTATCTGATCAATTTCCTTTTGTTTTTGTTACACATGATGAATCTACTTTTTATGTGAATGATGGTGAAAGTTATTATTGGGGTCCTCAAGGTGAACAACCACTTAGACCAAAAAGTCAAGGCGCGTCTCTTCATGTTAGTGAATTTTTATGTGAAACCTTGGGAAGGTTACAATTAAGCACAGAGGAAAAAGAGAAGAATAAACAACTTCCACTTAATCATCCAAATCGTCTTCCATATACTGAAGCTTGTGTTATTATTAAACCGGGAAAAAACAGAGATGGATACTGGACACATAAAAACGTAGCAGAACAGGTAGGTTTTAAAAAATCATATTTATTTTAAAGAATTCTAAATTTATTTATTTTTATTTTAGCTAAAGAACAGAGCAATCCCAATTTTTGAGAAAATGCATCCGGGGCATATTGGAGTATTTGCATTTGATAATAGTTCTAATCATAATGCATTTGCAGAAGATGCTCTTGTAACATCAAGAATGAATTTAAGCGATGGTGGTCAGCAACCGAAAATGCGAACTACAAAAATGCGAAATGGAAAAGAACAACAAATGGTATTGCCTAATGGAAAACCTAAAGGTAAATAACTGGAATAAATTCTATATTATATTTTATTTAATTACTATTTAATTTACATTAATTAATTAATAAAAGGCATGCATACAGTACTAATTGAAAGAGGTCTTTGACGACAAGGACTGCGACGAAATTGCCCAGAAAAGCGATCCAATTGTTGTGCTTTGCATATTTTGTCATCAGAGCCTGATTTTGTCGCACAACGACCATTACTACAAGAAATTGTTGAAAATGCAGGACATATATTTATTTCCTATCCCCGATATCACTGCGAATTGAATTATATTGAAAGCTTTTGGGGTGCAGTGAAACAATATACCAGAAAGAACTGCGATTATACATTTCGTGAACTAAAGACTATAGTTCCTGTTGCATTGAATTCAGTTTCTATTACAACCATTCGACGATATGCTCGACGATCATTCCGTTATATGAGTGCATATCGAGTTGGCCTTACAGGATATAGTGCTATATTCGCCGTCAAAAAATATCGATCACACCGGAGAGTTCCTGAGTCGGTTATAAAAATATATGAAAATAGTAAATAAATAGGTAAATATTTCCGATTTTTGAATAAAAATGTTTAATTTGATTTTTTTACTTACCTTTCTCGGTGCCTTTTTCCTAGTGCAATCTATCTTGCATTCGATATTTACAAAAAGAAAAAAAGTAAGTATTTAATTTTGTTTTAATTTATTTTTTATTATTTTACTTACCTTCTTTGCCATCTTTTTTCCTTGCGTGATCCATCTTACATTCAGTTTCTGAGTCGGTTATAAAAATATATGAAAATAGAAATAAATAGGTAAATACTGTATTTCCGATTTTTGAATAAAAATATTTAATTCGATTTTTTTACTTACCTTTCTCGGTACCTTTTTTTCTAATACAATCTATCTTGCATTCGATATTTACAGAAAGAAAAAAAGTAAGTATTTAATTTTATTTTTAATTTGTTTTTTATTATTTTACTTACCTTCTTTGCTGTCTTTTTTCCTTGCGTGATCCATCTTATATTCAGTATCTATAAATAAAAAAATGTAAGTATTTAATTTTAATTTTAATTTAATTTTAATTTATTTTACTTACCTTGTTCAGAATCTTTTTTAGCGTGATCAATTCGTAATGTGTTAATATCTACTCCAATGATTGATTTCATTTCTAAATGGATTGCACCATAACAATAGGTCTTGTTGATTTTTTAATTGAGAATAATGTTACAAAGTCAACAAATAGTATATCTAAACTTTTTTTATTGTTATCCTAAAGTTATACATGCATATGATTTTTAATAATATACATATAAACGATTTTGTTAACCAGCGAAATTTTCTCGGTGCTTAATTTTTTTGAATACACGTGATACATGATATTGAAATTTGATTGGTCTATTATCAATTCACATGATATTATGGCCAGGTCAATTTGAAACTTTTCTATTAAAACAAGCCAATTTCAAACTATAATAACAGAAAAAGTAAAGGAGCAAACCATAAAAGCTCTCTATATTTTTGTAAAGCTTATCAAAACCTATCATAATATAAAAACCTTTTTATAACAACATGTCTCTAGTCAAAGTTATTAGCTTTTAAATATTGTCTTTAAAATTTGATGTCTTTAGACTTGGCGCACCATACCAGTTTTGCGTATTTTAATCACGTGATGATAATAGTAGTAAAAATTACGAATTTGCAGATCACGTATTATATATAGCCGGAAATTTCACTCTACATGCACCATGTACATATCTGTATCAATGCGGTAGGGACACTTTACGAGTGGCTGAAAATAACTATGAATATAACGCAATCATCGAAATAGGGGAATGGAACATCAGACCGTTGTTTAGAGTACATACTCTTATCCTTTGTTATCGTTGCCCCTACCTCTATAATGAACTAAAAAATATCGATTATAATGATGAGGAAAATATCAAAGTCGTTAAAAAGCTTAAAGTTTCAGTAAAAGTTTTCGATATTATCATTAGGTACATATACTGTACTTAACCAATAGATTTATCGATGATAACATTTCAAATGATAATAACCAATATTAATCATGATGAAATAATTGATTTGGAAAAAGTCTCGGCCTCGCTTTATTTGACATCTTAGTTTCCGCCAGTGAATTCGAACTGGAGGAATTGTTCAAACATGTAGAATCGTATCTAGTCAAATATAAAGCTTCTTGGCTACAATTGAATTTTTCTTGGGTTCATAAAATAAGTTACAGGAACGATGGCTTTACTATGCTTCAAAAATTTTACAACGATATTATTACAAAGCACCCTGAGATTGTATTAATTCAGATGATTGCCATAGATTAGATGAAAAGGCTTTAATATCCATAGAACCCTATTTTACCCTAACTCTTGAACAATGGAAAGACATCGATTTTCTTGCTTTAAAAAAGACTACAGAATTGCTTACCACATATACGATTCTTTCATATTCCTGGAGATGATGTGTTTCTTAAAATCTACTCTTACCAACAAATTCTAGAAACTCAACTCTGGATGGATATTATGAGCAAAAAAATGGCATCAAATCTTCCAATTTCTTCCACAATCATACCAGCCCGAAAACTTTCAACCATTCCAATTGCCGACTAAGAATATGTGATTTCTCTACAATCAGTGAAAATATCTTCGAGGATAATAACCAATAAACACGCGGCAAAAAATAATATCGTGGATTAATAGAGAGACGTCATACCATACTTCGATGAATATAATTTAGTTCCAGCAAAAATAACTTCGGTAGTTTTCTTAAATCTTTTTGGAATTCATGCAGCAATAAAGTGATAAATTTAATATTAGTCTTGAAGTTTTTAAAACGGATGAAATTCTTGGTGGTTACATTCCTGTTTGTTATAACAAGCGTGATTTGGACTTGGGTATAACAAATATAAGAACAAATAATAGCTTCATATTTTTCCTAGAAAATGGAAATATAAAGAAATCAATTATTAGCAGAGTTAACAAAGAAAATGAGGCGATAGTTATAGATAATAGATCGTTTTCTTATCCTAATATTAGTTTTGGCCATTCTGATTTTCATATATACATAGATTTAAATATGAATTTATCTTTGATTATATAGATATAATAGAAATTTTTGAGATTGTAAGGAAAAAGTTATAAGAGCCTCTTGTATTCATTTAACGATAGAATGATAGAATGTTGAACAAATTCATTTATTAGAGTTAGTTATTATCAGTCTCTATTGGTTATCCGACCTCATACTATAATTATGCCCTAAATAAAATAGAAACTGCGAAATATGATATTAAGTCCTTGACATTGTATTATACAAGATGGAAATAATTCAAAAATTCGACGCTGGTAAATGTGGCTTTACTGATACAGAAAATAAATTACATGTCGATATACATAGCGATAGATAGTGTTTCTATATTAATTCCCGCGGATCACAGCGTCTGAATTATCTATACATCTCGTTTTCAAATACAGACATGATCGAAAAAATTCATCTTAGCGTAATTGCCACGTCCGGAATTTTGTCTTATAATTTCTTCCAAACTGCGATATGTACAGTAATTAGGTGCCCCTGGTTTTTCGTTGCCATTTCAAAAACCCTTATAAATTTCGTACCTAATAAAATTGATAAAAATGGGTTTATACCGAAACTCAATTCCTTTCAGGTTCTTCGTTTTTCAATCAATTGGAAAAAACTAATGTGAGGGATACGGAATTTTTGGAAACTAGTGATTTATAGTCTACATAGTGGGTGATAATTCGAGTTGGTGAATAAAACAGTCAACGACCGACGCGTCACAAAAACTTGGAAATGGTATTTTCTAGCCAATATAAGACTAATCATATTATCATTTTGTCTTAGGTGAACTTGATTCTTTCAATATAAGAATCAGATTGAATAATCTCGAATTATTGTATGTGCTAAAACAAAAATCACATGACAATGTGTGGTATTCACCTAAAATTGGAAGTGGAAATTTTTTATTTATATGCTAGAAGTTAATATAACATCGGTCAACACAAGGTT